CCTTTGGTCTAATGGTCTATGTCATGGACTTTCATGTGTGAGATCAGGGTTCAAAACCTGGCTAATGTAACTTTAAGAAAAAATCTCCAACTTCATATTGTCACACAATTACCTTAATTACAAACAACTGCTGACGTGACAGGCACAAGCTGGTATAGAAAACACATTTGAACTTGGTCAAAGTTCATTCTGCAAGTCCACTGCTGCAGGCAAAGCCATGCTGCATGGCAATGCACACTTGTTTTTACATCGTAAAAACCCATGTCTAGTTATGAACTAAAGTTTGATCAAACCAAGAAGACTTTTCATGACTCTGAGATCTAATTTAAATCGATTCTTCGCTCTAATCAAACCTTTAAGTTTAGATTATTTTCACACTATAGATCTAATTCTGTAGAAACTTATTTAAATATTTATTTAACCATCGTTACCTGCTATATTTTCACTCAGTGATTCCGGAACACTTGTTGCTTCCTGTTAAGATGAATTAGTCACAAAGTCTGGCAGTCTTGATTAAGCTGGGTGGGCCGCAACATTTCTAGTCATTTGTGAAAGAACTGGAAAGTAGATAAATGTTGATTTTACATAAACGAACCTCAGCAGTTCTTCAGCCCAGTCTAAACTGTACTCAGAATACAAACAAATCCCAGCAGATCCACAGAAAAGTCGGCTGCTGACTCAGCATTTTAGACTGAAAACTAAAAGGTTTTCAGGTTGTCTCTTCTAGATGTTTTTTTTTTTCAATAAAAATCCTGTAATTTTTAAGTTTTTTAAACCATATTTGTGTAGAAATGTTCAGCTGAATTTATGTGCAGACTTTAAATATCTGGAACTTTTTATATCTTTTAATATTCAAGTTTACAACATTTTCTTCATAAGTAAATATTTAAAATACATTATTCTGCATCATGTTAGCTTAAACTAAAGCTATGATATGTTTAGTTTTTAGCTGGGCTTTGGCTACATATGGTTTGGCTACATTTAGCCTTCAGCAAATGGTTTTGTAATTTTAGCTTTTTKTTACTATTTTGGTACTTTTAGCTTTGAGCTAATTGTTAACTTAATATTTCAGCTACTGTTTAGCTTATTGAAGATATTACTAATGAATTTGGTAGTTTCAACCTTTAGCAGTTTTATGAATTTTAGCTTATAGTTTAGCTTATTTAGCTTCTGTTCAGCTTTTGAACTTTTACAGTTCAGTTTTCAGCTTCTTCAGTTAAACTGTCATTCAGCAGTTTTTATATTTTGCTKTATTTTTTCACATTTTTTTCTTTAGTTGCCTTTTATGAAGACTATTTCTAAATCAGGTCACGATTTAAGAAG